TGTTGTGGGCCATCCTTTGATCACTGAACTTTTTGCCTGACATTCTGCCAAAGTTCCAAATGCCAGACCCTCACAAGCTCATCAGATTACAGTAATAAAACAACCCTGAAATCCTCCTGAGATGTTATTTTACAACTTTCACTGATCTGATGTTGTCTCGTCACTGATTCTGTATCACAGTCAGCAGCCCCTCTCTCGTTTCATCGTGCACTGAGACGAAAGATTTGCTTTCCGTATGATGTTGTAAAAGTGTAGATGTTTAACTACGTACACACGCACATTATATTTGATATAGCAGTCTGAAAGTTTTAAGATTGCCAAAAATCAACGAGTGAATAAAGGAATAACTGAATTAAGTGTGAATAACTAAACAAAATAAACAAAAATAATTCATAATTTTCCTGTGACATAGAGTTGATTGTTTAGAAGAAAACTTATATAAATATTTCTGTTATGACAGTCTCATCTTTAAAGTGAGAAACTCTGCTCTAATGTTTAAAAAAGGTAAGGATGTTTTATCAATAAAGAAATGCCCTTTTATTATTAAAAACAACTCTTCTACAGTTGCGCTGGTATGCGGTGTTAGGGGGGGTAGTGAGTGTGGTTTAACTACACAGCCCTAGTTTGTTACCGATCAGTGAGGAGATATTTCACAGAACAGCCTCAGATGCACTGATCTTTTTCTTTTCTTTTCTTTTTTAACTTGTATCAGTAGCAAACTCTATCTTTTTTGAAAATTGTAATGTTACAAGATTCTGACAACTGCCGATGCTATTGTTTAACCTGTGTCTGGTAGGATACATTGCTGTAGACTTTTCACCTTTTTAAAAATTTTTTAACAATACGTGAATGCCCGTCTCAATTTCTGGAAAGCACAGTCACTACATTGTGTCTATTGCATGCCTGCCAGAGTCTTTTTCTTTAAATGTAGGCCAATGTGAAAAACTTAAAAAAAAATAAAAAAACACTTCCCTTGATCATGCCGTTTACAAACCAATGCGTCGTTTCACATTTGAATGTTTTAAAGCAGATTGTTTTTGAACAGTTTCAATGTCCCACACAGAAACACATTCCCAAACAACAAGAGGGTTGTGAATTCCATCATCGTGAGCGGGGGATAAACAGCTGTTCAGTCGGGGTGTTGTAGATGAACAGGTGTTCAGTTGTGTGGGGTATGGAATTTTTATGAGGGTCATCAGTCACATTTTGACAGCCAGTACACTCTAAACTCTCTGACGGCATATTAGAGCAGTTTCCACACACTCCCAGACTATGGGCTGTGACTCC